ACTCATCTAAGAAGAAATGTGAGGGTAAGAAAAAACACAAGAAGTCTGCTGCACCTAAGGGTGGTGTGACCAAACCTAAAGGTAAGGCAAAAACTGACCAATCTGATGCTAAATATTCCTTCTGCAAGAAGAAAGGGCATTGGAAGAGAAACTGTAAGGAGTATCTTGCATCTCTGAAAGATAAGAAACAAGGTAAGACCTTAATGAAAAGTGTTTTCATGATTTCTTTAACTTCTATTAATCCGTATATATGGTATTAGATACCAGTAGTCATTTTAACATTTTGAATACGTTGTAGAAACTACAGATTAACAGAAGATTGAAGAAATGAGAACTTAATCTTCAAGTTGGGAATGGTGCAAAAGTTACAACCCTAGTTGTAGGATTAATTTCTCTTAGGATGCCTACGGGCAAAATACTTTTGTTGGAAGATTGTTATTATGTTCCTAAATTTATTTCAAACATAATATCAATAATTTTTTTGGACCAACATGGTTTTCGAATTATTTTGAATAATGGAGTTTGCTTTATTTATCATGGTGATGATTTATATGCAAATGGTTATCTCCCTCATGGTATTTATGTCTTACCTGATATGAATGAAAACTTAGTTTTGCATATTTTTAGTCTTAAGAGAAAAAGAGATTATCAAGTAAATTATATATATCTTTGGCATTATAAGCTTGGTCATATTGGAGAGAAAAGAATAAGCAAGTTGTACAAGTAAAGTTACCTTAACAAATATGATTATGAATCATATCCAACTTGTGAATTTTGTCTCAAAGAAAAATTGACCAAATCTCCATTTGTTGGAAGTGGAGAAAGAGCTTCTGAATTATTGGAACTAATTCATACTGATGTTTGTGTTCCCATGAAAACTCAAGTCAAAGGATGATATTCTTACTTTATCACCTTCACTGATGATATGTCAAGATATGAATTTGTGTATCTTATAAAATATAAATCTGAGTCTTTTAAAATGTTCAAAAGATTCCATAGTGAAGTTGAGAAACAGATTAGCAAAAGCATTAAAGTGCTAAAGTTTGATAGAAAAGAAGAATATCTTAGTGATGATTTTACTGGATATCTCAAAGAAAATGAGATTCTCTCATAATGGACCCCTCCTAGAACACCACAACATAATGGTGTGTTCGAAAAAAGAAATTGAACCTTATTAGATATTGTGATATCAGTGATGGGGTTTACAGATCTTTCAATTAATTTATGGGGATATGCTTTAGAAATTATAGCATATTTGTTAAATAAAGTACCCACTAAGTCAGTCTCTACAACACTATATGAGATATAGAAAGGATATAAACTGAGCCTTAAGCACATTAAAGTTTAGGGTTGTCCAGCTTATGTTAAAAGATTACAAACTGATAAGTTTGACTCAAGATTTGATAAGTGAAGATTCATTAGGTATCCTAAATAAATAATAGAATATTATTTCTATCACTCATCTGACCATAAAGTGTTTGTGGCCAAGGGAGCAACCTTTTCGGAAAGGCAATTTCTTTTTGAAGGAAATTATGGTGAAAGAATTGAACTTGATAAAGTTTAAGAAACTAATGACTCAATAAAAGAAGAGGATCGTGAGAAATATGTTGAGCAACCTTTATTAGATATTTTGAAGATGATAAGGAAGTTGTCATCTCTAATGGTTGAGGTTCAAGAAACAAGTATTGTTCACGGACCAGTTAGTGAACCTGTTCAAAATCATATTAAGTAGTGACCTAATCTAGTACAA